AAACAAATTTTAAGAGGTCAAAAGACAGAAAAAAACCAACAACTATAATATGTGATGAATAAACAATACTAGTAAATTAAACTATTAAACCACAATGGGGCTAATGGGAAATCAAAGAAACTAAGAAGTATCTCAAGACAAATGAAAATAAGGACACAACTTAGCAGAAGCTCTGAGACACAGCAAAAGCAGTACTATGAGGAAAATACAGAAACATAGGACACTATGAAAAAAGTGAGCTCAAACAAATCATCTTATCTCTCAAATCTTTGGAAGAGAAAAAGATGAACAAATGAAACCAAATGCCAGGTTGGAAGTAATGTAAAACTTTGAGAAATAAAATAGAAATAGAAATCAAATATATAGTCCAAAGACTAATGAAACCAAAAGCTGTTTTTTTAGAGAAAATGGACAAACATCTAGCTAGGCTTACAAAAAAAAAAAAAAAAAAGAAAGAAAGAAAAAAAGAAATAAAAAAGAAAGAAATAGAAATCACAGAGACGTAACAGCTGGCATCTCAGAAATTCAGAGGATCATGAGATTACAATAAACATTTATGTTAGTGAGTCAAAAAACCTAGACGAGACACACATATTCTAAAAATATACACAACACTTTAAGAGTAAATCACAAAGAAATAGAAAATCTAAAAAGACCAATACAAGCAAGGAAACTGAATCAGTAATTAAAAGGTCTCCCAAAAATCAAAATCCCAGAATCAGATGATTTCACTGGTGAGATCTAACAAAACTTCAGATAACCTATCTTAGCAAATTTTTCCAAAAATTTAGAAAGAAATAATGCTTTCAAAGACAATTTATGAGGTCAATATTACCCTATTATCAAAACCACACAAAGGAGGGCCTCCCTAGTGGCATAAGTGGCTAAGTCTCAGCACTATGAAACTATCCAAGCCACTGCAATAGGAGTTAGATCCCTGACAGGAGAGGTGACCCACATTGCACAGCAGACTTCTCCTGTCTTACCCATTAGTCCCCTCAGCAGTGTATTTCAGCTGATCCGCCTGTTCTGCTTCCCACTCTGTCTTTGGTGAATCATCTCACTGGGCTCCCCCACCACCTCTGGCATATACCCCAGCTCTGGTATACATAAATAAATCTTTAAAGAAAAAAAAATCAGATGAAGCTGCCACACACACACAAACACACACAAAAATACACACCAATTGCCTTATAAAAAAAATTTATTTTTTTAAAGTATTGTTTGTTTATTTATTTATATGAGAACCGGAATACAGGCCAGATGTGCGGGAGGGTGAGGGGATTCACCAGAGACAGAGTGGGGAACAGAACAGGCAGACTGACTGAAATACACTGCTGAAGCGAGCACCGGGCCCAACAGGAGAGGTCTGCCGCTCCATGAGGGACCCTCGCTGGCCGGCCAGGATCAAACTAATGCTGCAGAGGCTGTGGACAGCTTCACAGTGCTGTGCTCAACCACCTGCACCACAAAGGGAAGCCCTAAATGCAAAAATTCTTAACAAAATCTCAGCAAAGCAAAATCAGTAACATATTCAAAGTATTATACAACAAGATCAAGTGGAATCTATTCCAGGGACACAAGGATGATTCAAAATTTGAAAATCCATCAACTTATTTCACCACTCCAACAAAAGGAAAGATGAAACACTTGTGATCTATGTCAGTAGAAGTAGAGAAAGCACTTGAAAAGATTAAACATCGATTTATGATTAAAAACCCTGAAAAACTTGAATAAACAGAACAGATTCCAATATAATAATAAAGGTCATATATGACAACCCAAATGTAACCTGATTCTCAATGGTGGAAAACTTAAACCACAAAGATCTGGTACAAGAGAAGGATGTTCACTTTAACTGCTACTTTTCAACATAGTATTTACAATTCTAACTGGAACAATAGGGCAAAGGAAAATAAAATAATTAAAATAATACAAAGGAAAAAGAATGAGTAAAGCTACCATTATTTGCATATGTCATGATAATATACTTAGAAAATCCTAAAGCCTCCACTAAGAATAAAATATAATAACTATTTAAAAGAATAAATCAGTTCAGCAAACTGGCAAGTTACAAAATCTACAAAATTCAGTTCTGTTCGTAAAGAACGAACTGTAATAGAAAGAAATCAAGAAAACAATCCCATTTACAATTGTGTCTTACCTGAATAAAATAAAATGAAAAAGGCACCCTACTGGTGCCTCCTGGGTGGCACAGGGCCTTAAAGACACAGTGCTTTCAAGCTATCACCAGCCACTGCAGCATGATCCCCTGCTGGCCAGGGAGCTACCCACATGGCACAGCAGACCTCGCCTGTCTCATTTGCTGCTCCCTTTAGCAGTGTATTTCAGTAGATCTGCCTGTTCTGCTCCCCACTCTGTCTTTGGTAAATCCTCTCACCCCCACCACGCACCTCTGGCTTACACCCCAGTTCTTGTGTGCATAAGTAAATGAATCTTTTTAAAAAAGACACCCTACTATGTGGGAGTAAATATTTGCACATCATACATCTGACAATGGCTAAGTTTCAAGAACTACAGAGAACTCATACAATGCAACACCAACAAATAAATAAATGGGCAGATACTTCTCCAAAGAAGACATAGAAATTAACTACAGACATGTGAAAAAATATGCTCATCGTCTCTTATCAGGAATATACAAATCACAACCACAATGAGACACCATCTCACACATATGAGAATTGCCAATATTAAAACACACACACACACACACACACACACACACACGGAAACAAGAGTTGATGAGAGTGTGGATAAGAATGCACCATCATATACTGTTGGTGGGAATGTAGACTCTGCATCCCCTGCAAAAAACAGTGTGGAGGTTTCACCAACCAGTAAGTCTACTCTATGCAGTTCTCTGAAGAATGTGAAAACATTTATTAAAAGGGAGATATGAAACCTTATGTTCATTGAAGCACTATTTACAATAGTTACATTATAGAAACATATTGTGCCTAGTGACAGACATTGTTATTTGCTACACTCTATGGTTTATGTGCATATAGTAAAATGCATTTAGGTTAGCTTTTAGAGATGAAAGTGTCTTCCACAATTTGATATTTACTGGGAACTTAAATGCCATACTACAATTTCTAACTAACCAACCTTTCCTCCCCTGCAATCAAATTAACCAGAAAATGTGATGTTGGTAGTAAAAAGCAATAAAGCAAAGCAACAGTGTATGACATGAAGTGTTTACACACACACACACACAGGCACACATACACACACATCAGTAACATTTTCTGATTTCAACATCAGTTCTACTTTTATTTATTTTTTTAATTCTACTTTTAAAATTTTAAAACAACATAACCCACAAAGATTACATTTTCTATTAACATACAAAATATATCTATTTTAATGATATTAATATGGAATTAAAAAATGATGTTTAGAAAACATACCCTATGTCATGTTATTTTCAGTAGGCATGACTTACCCATATCATATCTGCTTCTGTATAATAGTGAGTCATATCACAGTAAAGTGTGATTGTGTGTGTGTGTGTGTGTGTGTGTTTGTAGAGAGAGGGAGAGAATACAAAAGACAGAAAAGGAGAAGAGGGTAAAGGGAGGAAAAGAGAAGAGAATCAAACTTGGATAGATCTTAGAGTCATATACTGAAATTGAGGGAAACAATCAGTATTATTCTTCTTGGTGAATTCCATACTGTCTCATATAGTGCTTACATTCACTGAATGATAATTCAGAAAATGTGAATAAATCATTAAATGAAAAATCCTTCATATCTACTCACAGTAGGATAATTACACTCTTTACCCTTAAAGTGGAGTGCCTTATTCAAATACTATATTAATTCTATAATGATTATATTCATTTTTGTTTTAATTTTTTTAGTATTATCTTTTAAATTGAAGTGAGAATTGACCTACAATAGCTTCAGGACAGTCACATTAATTTTCATTTCTTATAACTATCCAATTGTGTGACCCTGAGTCCAGAAGTTAAGAAGTAGTCGTTTTTTTGTTGTTGTTGTTGTTTTTGTTTTGTTTTGTTTTGTTTTGCTTTCTATCATTTCTGCTTGGAGACTCCAAACATTGCATAATCACACAAAATAACTGAGTTTTGCAAATACTGTTTTATGTAAGGTCTATTTTATGCATCATGGTTATCATTACTTGAGTCATCAGCATCCTTGAGGTTACTAATATTTATAAAAACCCTTAACCCACTACACACATATTTGGTTCTCTTTTATCTCTATTCCCTTAAGAGAGGTATCCTGGTGTTATTCATTGTATAAGAAGAATGTCTAGCAGATTCTACTTCCTAAAGAGCATTCAATAAATATTTATTGAATAAAGTACATTAAAACGAATAACATCTACAACAAACCAATGTGCCATAAAGCATGCCTGGTATAATGGCATACCATGTTTAAACATGTGTATTAGCTTTAGAATTTTAGAACCATCTGACAGAGTTTGAGTTTAGGCCTTATCTCAATAAAAAAATACAAAAGAAAACACGAATATATGAAATGGAAGCTCTTGATGAGTGAAAGGAAATACAGAAACCGGAGAGATAAATTTATTCAAATGATAACACATGAGGAAAAATAAAAGACTTTTAAAATAAGCATGAAAAGATGAAGAGATTTCTATTTATAAACTAGATAGAATACTTAAAATAAACCATCTGTTCATTAAAACCAAAGTAGATAAAAATATTGTCTAATTTTTAAATATCAAGTTCACAGATAGAATGCATAATCTAAAAATTAATCAAGCTGAGTGAGTGTTTCGGGAACTATATTAAAACAGTTTAATAGCAAAATAGAATCCAGATTAGTGTTCAGTAAAATAATTTTAAGATATATTTAAAGACTGCACATAATAGAATTTTAGAAATTAGTGTAAATCATCCTAAATTCCAGATAATTAAGCATGTTTTAAACATCTTTGTAAAGGAACATCTGATAAATACAAGTAAAGCATTTTAAAGTCTTACCTGCAAAAGAACTGTTCTATGGAACTTCAGTGCCCCTTTCTGGTGAATTTTAGCAAAACACCCTGAGCAATAATCTTCTCCACATTCAAGGCATACCTAAAAAGATGTTTTAAATATCACGCAATCTTAAAATGACTTTGAGAAAATATTTCATTGAAGATTCAATTTTTCTAATATTGTAGGAATTGAGAAGTACAGCTAAAGTGGAACAATCATTTTTCCCATTATGATGTAATTATAGAAGACCATTCAAATTCTAATTACTCTCACATTTAAATAAATATAACTGCAAGTAGGTTTGACATATAAGTATTTCATGTATGTATTTATGTGTGTACAATTTCCAATGAAATCATGAAGCAACCAGCAAACTATAATCAAAGTTCTTAACCTATTAAAAACTAAACCCAAAAATGGGCCAAAATGACTTCATTTTTATTAATTCTTTTACATTTGTATGGATTTATTTGTTTCCAAAAATCCCCATATGCTTTGTTAAATGTCACTACTTCACTGCTAATTCGCAAAAGAAGGTTTTAAAATTATTCTCAGAAGATTCCTCAAAGGAAAGAATGCAAGAAAACTGGATGGAACTGCAGCAAAATGTCAGCAATGCTTATAACAGATGAAATGAATGTTTTATCTTCAAAATTCTGTATGGTGTTAAAATAAATTAGGGATAAAAGAATAATGTGATAAGCTTGTAATTACAAATGGTGCCAAACAAGACTGAAAGTAAAGAGAATGGGATTTATATTTGCAAGGGAAATAACTACTGAGAGCTGAATAATTACTGCAATACTGTTTCAATACTTATTTCAAGAATTTTTAATCTTAGTGACATAATAAAAATATTATCTAAATCCATACTTCAAAAATACAAAATAAAAAATTATGGTGTATTATCTTATTCATGTGAAAATACCACATAATTTTTATTTTTACATATCTGCCAATAGTTTAATAAATTCCTTACAGATAATTGGCAGTGTTTTTACAATGTACTATAAAGGACTGAAAATCAGTTACAGCATATAATTCTAAGCAGTGTTTGTTAACAATAGACTTTTAATGAAACTAGCCAGATAGTTTAGACTGGAAGATCAAAGATGAATTGCAATGTTGATATATAAGTATGAGTGTATATAATTAGTTATAAGAATATTTGTATTTAAATTTGTTTAAAATGAACAACAGGGACCTCACTGGAGGCGCAGCAGGTTGAGCACAGCTCTGTGAATCTGCACACAGCCTCTGCAGTGCGAGTTCAATTCCCGGTCGGCCAGGGAGATTCCCACATGGCGCCACCGACCTCTCCTGTCACTCCCTCCCATCCCTCTGACCTTTATACCAGTTCTTGTATAAAAATAAATAAATCTTTAAAAAAATAAAAATAAAATGAACACCAACTGGAAAATCTTTTTAGGCATTAGGCAGTTGTGTAACTGTCAGGAACATGCTAAAAACGTTGATAAGGACGTCATTTCACCACAAATTCTTCTATAATGATGAAACACCCAAGTGCAGTTTTAGCAAACATTTCTTAATTTGATCAAGGCTTTAACAGTTGCGCTAAGCCTTGAAAATCCATTTGTGTTTCAGTAAATTATGTGCATTTGCCAAACTAAGATATAATTTTTAATTGTCCACCACAATTTTACCAAGTAGACACAACCTAAAATAAATTTCAGAGTTCAGGTATTTATTTTTACCATCAGTAAATGTAAATGCATCAGAATATGAACAATATGCTAACATCATAAAGATGCAATTTATTGTCCCTTCTCAATATTCCAAACAATGCTCAGTACTTCACAATAATCTTTAACCTCAATAACTTTGAGATATAGATTATACATATCCCCATTATCCTAATTTTACAAAAAAAGAAACCAGAAATATAAAGCAATTGAGTCATTTGTTAAAGCCATATAGTTAATAAATAGTAAAGTTCAGATTCAAGCTCCCCAAAATGCTAGCTCTCAATCCCTACCTACCTGATGAAATCACTGTCATAAGTTATTTACTCTAAGTATCCATGAGTTTTACTATCTAGAATGTTAGAAGTTAAGAACACAGATAACCTCAAAGTCTAACAATACCACATTCTACTTCACTAAGTCTGCTTAACTTAAATTTTTAAATAATTTATTATTGTACTTTGATGAATATCACATATTTTAACTTATTATCACATATTTTAACTTATTATTGTACTTTGATGAATATCACATATTTTATTTTATATATTTTCATTTATAATCAGAGGGTATCTTTTCTTAAAATCTTTGTGAAATTCTTTAAGAATGCTTAGGGCCTAAATCCTGGTTTCTCTACAACAGTTTCAAGCAAATCATCACTTCAATCTGCTTTCCAGCCAAGGAACATGCCATTTATTTTGTCTAGAATGTTCTTTTTCTGCTTTTATTCCTCTGGAAAACAGACCCTTAATTCTCAGGTCAAATCTCTTCTATATGCTCTACACTGTTCAAAGTCATTCCCTTTAACCATTGTTCAACATAGAATAGGATTAAAATGAGAATTTACTCATAATCCCCAAATCCTTTTTCAGATAATTGACAGTGGACCCCAAAAATTCAACTCAACCAGTGTGCTCTTTTTAATTTTCATACTTTCAACTTCAAAAATCATTTGTTTGTATTTGTTATAAATTTCTGCATAAGTGTTATTTGTTAATAACCCTTAAATTATTGTTCACTATAATATCAAATCAAATAAAAAGTAGTATGATGAAATTGTAAGAACATTAGAACAAAGCCCAGGGTTTAACATTTAATAGTGTCATTTTAGCTCTTTATTAGACTTGCAGTCTTCTCTTTGAGTCCAGTTTAAAGTGCCTTGATATAAGGATAGCAATATAGGCTTAAATCAGAAGTGGTTATGGCTAAATTATCTGAAACTATAATGCAATATACAAATAGTAGTTATTTATAATCACTAAATTCCTTGGGGAAAAACTGGTTCCTAAGTGTGTGCTGTATTTTAATATTGCAAAAGATATCAGAGTACTTTCAATGCTAACTGAAATGAAAGGTCAAAGAAATGGTTCACTTAACAAGTACCTTCTGAGAGCCTTCTAAAATTGCACAGGCATAATTATAGGGGTATACAACAGTGAACAAAACTAAATGTCTACCTTTATGAAATTAATATTGTAGGTGGGAGGAAAATAAATAAATTCAATACATATAAAAGAGTGATAAATGCTAAGGAAATAATGAAATAGCTTCATGAAACTTACACCTAAAGAGTAAGAACAGAGACACTAGGGACCTGGCTCTGTAGCACTCCAATATTAGGAACAAAGAATACAGATATCCACAAGAAAACTGAGAAAGGAGAGCTAGCAAAGTAAAAGGAAGTCAAGCAGCATTGGAAGCCAAGAGGAAGCCCAATGAAGTGTCATGGACAGTAGGGATAGTGGATCAAATATTACTGAAGATATAACACTGAATAAAAAATGAAACTGCTTTTTCCTTCTGGCTTATTTCACTGAATATAATTCCTTCTAGCTCCATCCATGGTGCTGCGAATGGCATGAGTTTGTCTTTTTTGATTGCTGAATAATATTCCATTGTGTATATATAACACATCTTCTTGATCCAGTCATCTATTTTGGGACATTTGGGTTGTTTCCAGGTTTTACTTATTGTAAATAAGTGCTGCAATAAACATAGGTGTAAAGGTGTTCTTTTGAATCATGGTTTTTGTGTTCTTTGGGTAGATCCCTAGCAGTGGAATTGCTGGGTCGTATGGTAGCTCCATTTTTAGTAGACTGAGTAACCTCCAGACAGGTTTCCATAGTAGTTGGACCAGTTTGCACTCCCACCAGCAATTTAGAAAAGTCCTTTTTCACCACATCTTCGCCAACATTTTTTGTTGCTTGTTTTTTTGATATGTGCCATTCTTATTAGTGTAAGGTGGTATCTCAGTGTTGTTTTGATTTGCATTCCCCTGATTATAAGGGATGCTGAACATTTTTTCATATGCCTGTTGGACATTTGCATTTTCTCTTTGGAGAAATGTTTTTTTTATGTTCTTCTGCCCATTTCTTGACTGGATTGTTTATTTTGTTTTTGTTGAGCCATGTGAATTCTTTGTAAAAGAAAAGTACCGGATGGTTTCACTTATAACAGGAATATAGAGGCACCAAAAAGACATCAGTGTAAAAAAATAATAACAGTACAAAACACAACAAAGCAAAAAACAGACAATTATAAATCAGAGACATACTGCAGGGAAGGAGGTAGGAGGGGATCAGAGGGAGGGAGGGAGGAGCACAGAGGACTGAGGTGATGGTGCATGGGTGCCTTGGGGAAGGAAATTCTATGGGGACTCAATCTGAGGAGGTGGGGGAAGCAAATATTGTTTAAAATTAAATTAAGTTAAATTTAAAAATAAATAAAGTACACAAATATTTTAAATGTTAAAAAAATGAAACTGTTGTGGATATACACTCAAGAGAATTGAAAGTAGGAACTTGGAAAGACATTTGCACACCCCTCTTTATCATAACATTATTTACAACAGCCAAAAGGTGGAAACAAACCAAATGTCCATCAATGAATGAATAGATAAACAAAATAGATAAGCAAAATAGAGAATATATATGTATATATACATATATATATACACACAGAGAGAGACACAAAACACTATGCTAAGCTTTATAGAAAAAAAATTTATAGAGACAAAATTTGCCAGGGTCTAAGGATAGGAAGGAATGGGGAATTACTGATTGATGAGCACAGAGTGTTGGTTTTGCAAGATGGAAATGGTCTCTATAGATGGTGGTGAAAGTAATACAACAATGTGAATGGATTTAATGCCACTGACCTGTACACTTAAAATGATTAATATGTAACTTAAAATCATGGTGTGCTTTGCCATATGTTTTTAAAGTTCATGAAACTAGTATCCATGAGAGAGCTGTCAGAAATCATTATTTCATGTGCTTTTTTCTAAATTTCACTTGGAAAGAAAGAATAAGTAGCATTTGAGGAATAAAAAGACTTGCACAATAATGTCCTTAGTGATCTTAAACATAATAGTAAGAAATCTGAAAAAAAAAAGAAAGTTATTCAATATGTAGATGAATAATCAAATTTTGGAATATCTATGCAATGGAAAAGTGCTCAGTAACACAAATGAACCAAGTACTATAAATGTGAACAACATGATGAATGTCCATGTGGAACAAAAGAATTCTTAAGCTCTCCCCCACCAAAAAAAAAAAAAAAAAAAAGATAATGCTACTTATATAAAGTACAAGATAGACATCATGTCATGTATGATGCTGAAAAGCAGAACACTAGTTTTCTTTTTGGTGGAAACTAACTGGAAAAGGAACAAGGGAACATTTGGGAGTATTTTGTTATCTCATGGGAGTGTATATTTGTCAAAAGGTTTCTAATTGTACATTTAAAATTGGTCCATTTCACAGTAATTTATACTTCTATTGAAAAAACGAGAAAAATGGAAGAGGAGGACATTGAGACAGAAAGTATAGACAACTCTTCAGAAGTTTGCTAAAAGGGATTCAGGGAAAGATGAGTGGGTCACAGAATAATTTTGTTTTGGCTTTAACTGAGAAGTACTGCAGCATGCTTACATGCTGGTAGGTCTGATGGAAGGGAGAAAAGATGAGAACTAGGTGATGCCCTAAAACAGAAATAAGAGAATCAGATTTCGCACATTGTAAAGACTGTTCTTATGCAGCAGCATGAAGACTTCGCCTTCAGTAACAGCAAGAAAGGAGAAGCGTGGCTACCCAAGCAGGTGAGGCCGGGAAGTGTATGAGAGCACCAAAAGGTTTTATTCTAATTATTTTTTTATAAGGTACATACTAGCAGAGCAGCTTTGTTCTCACACTGTCCACAAACTTTCCCTCTTATCTTGGAATTTTCACTTTCAGAAGTACTTGCCATTTTATAATTAAGTGGATGTTTCACTGTCTCTGGAAGGAAAAGAAAAAGACACAGAAATAACTTTCAAATATAATGTTTAGTTTTTTGATTGACAAGTCTAATCTTACCAGTACACTGGGGAACCCAAAGTTCCTCTACCCCTCTTTAACCACGGGCCCCATCTAGCCACCCATATGCAATCTGATTAAACTTCACTAACTGGACATGTAAAATTAGCTAAGTTAAAAACTACGTTCTTAATGGAATTTGTATGGCATTCTTTGTCATCTCTGGATTAATCTGAAGTCCACACAGACCAACTTCTAAACTTTTATATATTACATATATAATAAATATATAAGATCTCTAAGTTAATATAATACATGTCCAAATATAAAATTAGGACATGCTCTACCAAATCACCTTAACCATTCTAATTAATTGTGCTTATTCTCTACAAAAAAAAAAAAACAACCTTATTTCTATTGGATTAATTAGCAACACAAAATTGATTTTTGGCTTTTGGTGCTGTCAAAAATTTATTGAAGTATAAAGCAATTTATCAATATTCTTTTAATTTCCTAGAGTACAATTTCAATTTGTAATTTTAAACTGCCAGATTTTCTTCCTAATTAACATGTTATATTAATAAATTTAAAGAAGGGTGCTATGAAAGGACTTATTTTTGAAAATCGCTATTATTATAATCACATTCTAAGTTGATTATTTTTACATAAAATAAGGCTTACTCATAAAATAATAAAGTGGTTTTTGACTATCAAGCATCATTCTGGGGTGAGAATCTTTATACTGCATGAGCAACTCCAGCACTTTAATTCTATATATAATTTGAAAGTAAAAGTACAGAAATTATATCTTTAGCATTTTGTAAGAGTAGTGTAGAGTTTACCTTGGAGCTGCTGCTTTAGAAATTTTAATTTCACTTTTCCAGCAGAAAACTGTATTAATGAAATTAATAAAGATATTAATAAATATCCATTCTGTTATTCAAAGAAAATTTAAGTTACCAGAAAAATATTAGAAAGTCATTAACATTTTGGTGCAGCTTGAACAAAACAAGCTGATTTTGAAACAATATAAAATTAAGGATATCATTTTAAAGTGTACATCGACCTTATAATTGAATTAAAATGAAATTCATGAAGTGAAAAGAAATTGTGGAAATATATATCAACCAGATTTTTATATAATTCCACAAATTATTTATAAAGCAAAAATTATAATATACCATCATGAAATGATTTTAGGAAATTACTAGTATTCAAATATTGCAGTTACAGTAATTCTTTTCTCTTTGCTCCAATATTTGTGCAGACTAAAACTAAACTGACTTTTGACTGAACTGTTTACAGATGTCAATATTATTATCTTATTTGCCCAATTTGTAGAACCATGTTTAAGTATCATGTTATCAAATGTATCAAATATCAAATACATTATTTGTGATCCCTGACTTTCTCAACTTGTAGCCAAACAAAATCAGTAAATAAAATTGACAATAATCACTTAACAATCCTTGGATCTTAAGATTTTAAGAAATAAAACAGGCTTTTAGATGCACATACTTGCCTTCATCTTATTAAAAACCAACATTTGAAGTACCCAGATGAGCATGGAGGATGGTGTGCATTTACAGAGACACTATCAATTTATGCCTAGTTTGCAATTTGCAATATTCATACTCAATTGCCCAATTTATACATAGAATATTAGAACAATGATTGCCTCTGTATCTACAGCAGTCATTTCTGAAAATGTAGGTTTTATTTTTCTCAGTGAATCTTGTGGTTTTGTTTCAAAAGGGCATTTGTTGTCCATGTTCTTTAAATAGCTGCTCAGATGCTATGTACCACACACAGCAAAAAAGGATTGAAATATTTTTTTATGTGACTCAGATTTATATTTAAATAGGTAGTGTTATAAAGTTACAGATAATTTAATCCCATTCTTCATATATGTTATTTAATGTTATTACTTTAATGATATATCTGAACCGAACATCAGTACTGTGGTTACAGGATACCTGTGAAGAATGGATTTATCTATCTATCTATCTATTTATTTATTTATTTATTTATTTTAGAGATTTATTTATTTATTTATACAAGCACTGGGTACAGTCAGAAGCACGGGAGGCTGAATTCACCAGAGCCAGAGCAGGGAACAGAACAGGCAGAGTGACGAAATACACTGCTGAGGGGAGCAGTCAGCGGACGCAGCAGGAGAGGTCTGTCATGCCATGTGTAACCCTCGCAGGAGGCCGGGGATCGAACCGGCACTGCAGAGGCTGCGGGCAGCTTCACAACTCAGCGCTCAACCGCTGCGCCATGGGTGAGGCCCGGAAGAATGGATTGAAATGCCAAATTAAACAGAACCCATTATTAGGGACATTTTATAATTTGTTGTCACTGTTGCAAATAACATTTTTTCTGCTTTTTGAATACAGTCATTTTTACCGCAAGTGATTAAAACTTCATAAAATTATTTCAGTGAACAAACTGATAGCTGCTTGAAGGGTAAAGGAAGATTGCTCAGGCTTTTGTGCTGCTGGCCTTTGGGGCTATCACCTGCGGCTTTGAATGCAGGAGGCGCTTTGGGAATGTGCATTTCTGATGATGGACACCTGGAGTATGGTGTGGGTATGTGTAAGTGGGCACATCTGAGCCTAGAGACTGTGCATAGATGGGCAGCAGAGGACGGTGCAGTGGAATGCTGCAGAAAGATGGCAGAGCCATGGCTACTGGAGGAGGAGACCCCTGAGAGCCCAGAGAGAGTCAAGATTTGCCTCCAGGTTCCCCATGCCTCTGCCTGCCTTGTATCTGTTTGTCTCACTACAAATGGGGTAGAAGGATGATTAAAAACCTGAAAAAGCCACTGAGGGCTCCAAGATTCTCCTTTACCTGTCTGCCTGGATCCATAGAGAATCAGCTCTGTGCCTTCCTGCCAATACACTGCTATATTTAGGCAAACAGAATTCCCTCTTTAGTATGATTTTATCTCTTTGAGAAAGAACTGGGCATGGAATAGGTTTGGGTGACGGATATTGTAGCGGCAGCAAGGCACAGAGCAGGTTCTCTATGATCCAGGCAGACAGGTAAAGGAGAGTCCTGGACCCCTCGGTGGCTTTTCAGGCTTTTATTGAGCTTTTGACACCATGGGTAATGCAGCAACCAGGTACATGGCAGGCAGGGGGGGCAGGTGTCAGGAGGCCCCCCGGGCAAATCTTCACTCTTTCTGGGCTCTCTGACGTTCCTCATGGTCTATGCTTCTCTGCTTCTCCTTTGCTGCTCTGCTGGTTCTGCTCTCATTGTGCTGTTGCTCTTTCTCATTCTGCTGGTATCTTCTGTTGGCGTCCCTGTGACACTGCCCTTATAAGCCCAGTCTCAGCCCAGGTATGCCCACCTATGCACGCCTGCACCCTACTCCAGGTGCCCACCATCAGGCATGCATGTAGGACCGCAGGGATCCACCATTAATAATGGTGGGAGGATAGAAAAGCCTGATAATTTTTCACTTACCCTACAGATAAACACAAAACACATACACATCTATGTACATATATGAATATAGGTATATGCATATGCATGTATATACAAAACATCAGGAATTTAATATGAAGCCTATACCTTATTAACCCTCTTAGCCTCTAGCCATAGATGTTGAAAGGGCACCACCAGGGGCCAGAGAGGCTTAGCAATGTCATAGACATGTCATTTGGCCATTGTGTTCAGACTGTGCTTTCATCTTCAGTCCCACTGGCATTCAAATAGACCCCCAAACTCTGTCATGATCCAGGCTGATGGGATACTTTATGCCCAAAGTATACATTAATAGGACCCACCTTTCTTAAGACACTACCTCCTCCACATAACTCTCCTGAGTAGCTAGCTGTTTCTACTCCCTTCGCTCACCATGACAGAAGAAAGCTCCCCCACCCCCGTCCTCTTCAGACCTATTTCCAGATACTCTTCTGTTATGATCATTCAGCAAAGTTGCCTCCACTGAAATTCCCCTCCATCCACTTACTGCCTTTATCAATACCCAGGATACTCTCCCACATGAACTTCAGCAATCTTTTCAATATTTCTCTCATCACATTTGTAGGCGATAATTGTGGAGACTTCAATGTCCATGTTCACCTGACATAAGAACCCTCCAACATGCTAACCAATGTGAACACCCAATTGCCTCTTCAGTCACTCCACCATTATGACCAAACCCTGAACCTAAGTGACATTTTATATGGTGTAAGGGCAGGAATGGGCCACTGAGCAGGTTTTCTGATCCAGCAAACCAGGTAAAGAAGGAGTCCTAGAGAGTCCTCAGTGGCTTTTGCAGGCTTTTATTGGGATTTACCAGTACATGGCAGGCAGGGGTGCTGGGGGGCCGGGAGACTGACAGGCCTCCCAGCCCCCAGCAAGTCTTCACTCTTTCTGGGCTCTCTGGTGTTTTCTTGTGTTCTCTCTGTTCTCCTGCTTCTCCTTCTCTCTCGGCTTCTGCTGGCATCCCTGTGAAGCCGCCCTTAAAAGCCCAGCCTTAGCCCAGGTGAATCCCATCTACACATGCCCACACCCTACTCCAGGCGCCCGCCATTAAGCATGCATTCGGGACGGCAGTGTTCCGTCATCTATCCTAATGGCAGGAGGGCAGAAAATTCTGATACTTTTTACCTTACCCTACATGCGGTTACACTTTCAAAATGGCAAAATCATAACTTTGCAATGCTCGCCACAATCACCTCACCTCCTTCTTCTTAGACCTCTCGTAGTCATCTACCATTATAATGAAATAAGGCTGACTGGGTACCCACAAATCTATGCTAAATACCACCTGTAGGTTAAGTGAAAAAATATCAGGCTTTTCAGCCCTCCCACCATTGGCATTAGTGTGTACCCCTGCAGTCCTAGATGCATGCCTGATGGCAGACATCTGGAGTAGGGTGAGGACATACATAGGTGGGCACACCTGGCCTGAGGCTGGGCTTAGAAGGGCAGCTTCATGGAAACCAGGAGAGGAGAGCAGAACCAGCAGAGCAGCAAAGGAGAAGCAGAGACCGCAAGAGAATTCCAGAGAGCTCAGAGAGTGAAGACTTCTCAGGGACTGAGAAGCCTGCCACCCTTCCGGCCCCCCAGGACCTCTGCCTGCCATGTATGTGGTAAAATCTCAATAAAAGCCTGAAAAAAACCACCGAGGGCCCCAGGGCTCTCCTTTACCTCTCTGCCCTGATCATAGAAAACCTGCACTGTGCCTTGCTGGCACTGCACCACCAGTGGGTCCTTATGATTCTTCAACAATTCATTCATTAATTTGCTGCTAAACCTCAGTCATCGTTGTCACAATGACTACTCCAAACCCTCCCCATTCCAAAAAGCTCAAATTCATCCCATTAATCTGGGTAGATGATCTTGCCTTCAACATTACTAAGAATGTTGAAGTTTTCTCATTAATATTTCCCCAATGCAACCTTTAAGAATTGAACTTTACCTTCATCTGTTTTCTCTGTCATCTTTCTTGTCTCAGAGAAAATATGTCCTCCCCTGGTGTAAGGCCTTAATGAGCCACCACTTCAAAGACCACAATCCCAACAATCTCTAATTCAGTTCTTTTATCTTCCACTACAGAGTCCTTCACTTGGCTACTAACTGTCTCACATCAACTGCAACATAGTCTTCACTCATTGCCTCTTTAATTTCCTTCTAATCACCTGAACTATTTTTTACATCAAATAATAACCCAATGATCAAATCAGAGTCAATATTTTAAAAAAATTCTAGTTTTCCATAAGTACACATTTTTTACTGAGATTTTTGGGTTATATTACAATTGGTTTCACCTATACTACCTCACACATTGCTCAAAACTGCAGTAGTTGGCAAATATAATCACACATGTTTACAATTATGGTAACAGGTTCAGAAAGGTTAAGTGAGCCCAGAGC